GAAACAAACTGATGATATCACTTATGTTACTGATGATGTCACTGATGATATCACTTATGTTACTGATGATGTCACTGATGATATCACTTATGTTACTGATGATGTCACTGATGATATCACTTATGTTACTGATGACTGACTCCCTCCCTCCATCCCTCTCTCTCCCTCCATCCCTCTCTCTCCCTCCATCCCTCTCTCTCTCTCTCTCCCTACATCTCTCCCTCCATTCCTCTCTCTCCCTCCATCCCTCCATCCCCCTCTCTCTCTCCCTCTATCCCTCTCTCTCTCTCCCCCTCCATCCCTCTCTCTCTCCCTCTCTCTCTCTCTCTCTCTCTCTCTCTCTCTCTCTCTCTCTCTCTCTCTAACTAATGTAACTAAATAAATAACTAACTAACTATATGAGACCCTTTCCAACGTCTCTCCGCCCCTGAACCGAGTGATTGGGGCGGGGCGCAGACTCCAGACTCTGCCCGGACTTTTAAACCCTCCTCCCGGGGTGCAGGACGCAGGACGCGCGGTGCGTAAAAACAACCGAGCTGCTCCATTTCAGCTCTGAGGCGCAAACTTCACCTCCGCGGGATCTTTGGGACTCAACTCTGCTTTCTGCGCGCGGAGATGTTTTATTTACTCCTGACATGATGCTCTGATTCCCCGGACTCTTCGCTCCGCGCGCTGGATTATCAAACTGGATTTCTGTGGGAAAAACTAAAACGGCTCCATAACACTCCGGAGTGATCCTGCGCGAAATGGGGCCGTTTTCAGCTGCGATTCTTGTCGCTTTTTTAGGTAAGAAACTCTTGTTTGTTGTTGTTGATTATTTGGCGCAACAAGCGCCTCCACCTGTCTGCGCCGACGCGCGCACAGGTCAACAGGTGGAGCAATGATAACACAACAGAGCCGCTTTATTCTGCACCGATGCGTCCTCAGAGGTCAATAAAACCCTGCCCTGAGGCTGCAGTGAAGATGAAAGCCCTGGGAGAGTTAAGAGCCACTTAAAGCATCCTGTCTGGGCAGCAGAGGATTATGGGCCTGCAGTTGACCTGATCCATCTGCTGCCAGTGACAGAGGAAGGCAACAGTTGGCAGCGACTTCAAACGCGCCACGGCTGAGATAAAAAGGATGCTTCTGCTGGTCCACTTCTCCTCCAAGTGTGTTTAAGTGGATCAAACTTTCAATTAAGTGGTGTTTTTATAGCAGGCTCTCATTGTGGCAGAGAAAAGATCAGTGGCTGAGGGAAAAAACCTCAGAGCTGCACGTTTTAGTCTGCATTTTTTTAACTGACTGGAATCTTTAAATCACATCTTTATGAGAAGTTCTCATCATACAGACTGTTTAATGTGGCAGCAGACAGATCTGGACCACAGTTACCATAACTGTTAGAAAAAAATACATTTATTGTCTAAATGCTCATTTAAGACTTTTTTCTCTCTTATTTGGCTCAAGTTATTTATTGCATCATAATGGACACGGCTCTTTAAATAAAGCAAAATATACATTCATTAGTTTTTATGAAGTATTATTTGTCTTTTATTTTGGTTAAAGTTGTTCTTTTATTGTCACAAACTTGTTCTTAAAGTAAAGCAAAAAGTCAACTTTGTTAGTATTTTTAAAAAAAAGGCTTATTTTAGTCTCTTTTTTTGTCTCTTATTTTGTCTCATGTTATGTATTTGTTGCATTGTCCCTTAAAAAAATTATGATCAGAATTTGAACAACTATTTGTTACCTACATAAAGGTCATCAAAGAATTCTATAAAAGAGACATTTGAGAACGAAGCGCTCAACTGTTTTATTTTCCTGCAGTAAAACATGCAGATAAAAGTGCTTTGTGTATAGTGAACGCAAACCCGCATTTCAGATTTTCAAAGATGTGTCCTAAAATCTCCTGGAATAAACTCTTTCACACGATTTGATAAAGTTCTGGATAAAATTTTTACATTTGATTTCATAGTTTGCATGATTACTATTATCATTATTTTACAAAATTCTTTAAATTTCCATGCTTATCAATTATTTTCCCTTACAAAAAATTACTTTATACAGTTGTCCTTTAAGTATACTCATTGAAAAAAAGAGTATACTTCAGTTATTTTTTTGTGTACAAATTAGAAGTATACTTAAAATTTATGTTACCTACTTGTCTCATACTAAAGGTACACAAAAAGTAAACTTGGTAAGTAAAAGTACACTTGTGGAAATATACTTAACAATACTTAAGCATACTTGATGACATGTACTTGAAGTAAACTTTTTTTTTTTGGGTTGTTATTATTTTTTTATTTTTGCTAACACAACAAATTTTAGCTGATTATGAGTGAAAAGGTGATGTGTAGCTGTGAGTCGCTCACATCACATCAGGTTTGACCCAAAACGACTCGGAGTCCGTTTCTCTTCATCAGATGATCTAAAGTCTGAAACTCTGACCTGAAAGGTTTTAATCGTGTCTTGTTTTAGAAAGAGATTTAATGGCTTTAACTGTTTTTACTTTTCTCAGTTTTTGCGACATTTTGCAGCTTTTCTCCAACATTTAACAGTATTTATTTATGGTCCATGCTTGGCTGTTTTAATTCAGCAGAACTGAAATATTTTTGGTAAATCCATGGACCCAAACACTGGCAGCAGCTTTAGGAAGGTGACAGTTTTATTTTCTGATGAATCCTCGCAGCTGAGCTCTGAGATAACAAAGAGCAGTGCTTTTGTCTGGTTTCCTTCTGGATTTTTCCTCTTCCTGTTTAAAGTGATGTTCAGTCGTTCCCAGCGCTCTGACCTCACTGGTGGGATGAGGCCAACTGGAAATGTTCGCTGTGGTTTAGGGCTCTGGGAGTTTTGCGGTCACTTTGTTTTTAGGTAGAGAACCGAGCAGTTTTAGGAAAGCGGCGTCAGCGAGGGACCAAAAGAGTTTCCAAGTTTTTACGATTATTGCCTTTAATGAGGAAAAATATAATCCAGTCCCTTGAATGTCCATCGCTTGTTGGATGTGAGAAAAGGAAGATATTTGATGCTTCAAACACAAAAATCCTTATAATCATTTCCTCGTTTATTTTCCTGTCAGCCTGGTTTTTATTTTGAGCTGGTTCACATTTGGATTTGTTGGAATGTGAAAAGATTTGTAGCTCCGAATTCTTGTTCACGTCTCATAATTATAAGATTTGAACACAGTTTGGTGGCTTTAGATCAGGTCTGTCAAACATCAGACACTTTTTTAACAATAAACACATTTTGCAGCTAAAATGTCAAATGGTTACAATAAAAAAAAATCTTTTTGATTTATTCTGTCCAATCTTTTTACAGGGACAGAACTAAAGGGATGGCTTAGGTGGAACCTGATGGGCTACCCCACCCCCAAGTTGATTGATAGTGAATGGTTAGAGTAGAACAGAGGTTCTCAGACCAGGGGTCTGTCAGCTGTATATTGGTGGTCCTCCAAAAATTCAATATATTGTTAATTTGTTTTTATGGGGAACAATGCACTAGTACACAAACACACTAAACCAAAGGGGTCCCCAGACCCAAAATGTTTGAGAACTCCTGGAGTAGAAGACATAAAAGAGTTTGATGAACATGTATGGTCTACAAGTTGGCGGCCATCTTGAATCACTCATACATCCAGTTACATTAAAATCCAGTGGTTCGTGAGATATTTTTTGCCATCTCTCCATCTATTATCTTCAGTTTATTCTGAGTCTGGTCTTTGGGGCAGCAGCTTGAGCAGCCACCTCTTCCAGGTCTTCTGGGAGGACTCAAAGACCTTCCCAGACCAAACAAGAGACTCTCTATAGCATGTCCTCTCAGTCGGACATGTTTCAGCACCTCCAAAGGGAGGKGTCCAGGAGGCGTTCTTACCAGATGAACCACCTCAGCTGGCTCCTCTCGATGTGGAGGAGCAGCGACTCTACTCTGAGTCTCTCATGGAGAACTGACCTTCTCACCCTGTCTGTAAAGGAGAGTCCATAACTCTGCAGAGAAAACACATGTCGACTGCTTGTGTCTTTGATCTCGTTCTTTCAGTCACCACCCAAAGTTCATGGCCACAGGTGAGGTGAGGGAATGTAGACCACCTCACGGTTCACCGCAGACCAGTACAGAAGCTGCACCAATCCATCTGTCAGTCTCACGCTCCAWTCTTTCCTCACTCGTGAAAAAAAAAAACCCTGAGATAGTTGAACTCCTCCACCTGAGGCAGAATCCCACCCCCAACCTGGAAAGAGCAGTCCACCCTTTTCCAACTGAGGACCATGGACTGAGGTGCTGATCCTCATCCCAGCTGTGAACCGCTCCAGTGAGAGCTGAAGATCGAGGCACACTGAAGCCAACTGGACCGCATTACCTGCAAACAGACGAACTGGACTCCCTCACCGTTCTGTCCATAAAGGTTCTGAACAGAATCTGTGACAACGGGCAGCTCCCACTCTGAAGGGGTCCGACTTACTGCCGCCAATGTGAACCAAACTGGCACCGCTTGTATAAGGACTGGATCTCTCATAACAACGGACCCACAATCCCATACTCACAGAGCACCKCCCCWCKKCAGTGTACCTCGATGAACACGGTCAAACACCGTCTCCAAATCTACAGGATGTTTTTGCTAAAAAGCCGTTTTTCATTATGGTGTGATTTACTCAGGAGTCRGGCTGAAAACTCAGTCTGGTGTGAAACAGCTGGAGGTGGTTCTGGTCCTTCAATGAAACTTCAGCTTCTTGTGATCAAACGCTTTTTGGTCCCTCTCAGAGGTATTAGTGTCACATTAGAAGCCCGCAGTGGCATTCCAGGGCAGTAAATGATCTCACCGGGCAAGTCCAGATCTGATTGGAAAAATTTAAGGCCGAGTTTTTAGCATTTCAAGGTGGATTTGAATGATACTGGAGCATTACACGAGATAAAACCTCAGTGGAATGTGAGCTTTGGAAAGGCTTTCATTTCCSATGTTTTATCCCTTCATGCTTCTCGTTCCAGCACAGAAGTGCTTCTTTTTAAAATTCTTTTTGTTTGGTTGGAAAGCAGATGAAACGTCAGTGTCAGATCATGTCTTTTTTTTTTTTACTAATGCTGAGTCAGCATTTAGACAATTGTCTTCTGTTTAACCGCCTCAGCTTCTTTTCAACTATTTTAACTATTAATCATTTAAGATATTCAGTTTTGTTGTCATTACAACTATGATTTATGTTTTATGTAACTTTTATGCTTTTTGATTTACTTAACTTGGCAATTTTTGAATTGAAATAATTCAAATACTTGAAAAACAATTTTTGCCCTCTTCTGCTAATATTATCGCTTAGCTACTGTTTCTCCAGCAGGTTTTCTTGTTTTAATCTTTTTCTTACCTCCTTTTTATTTTTAGATGAGATTCTTAAATTTTCAAATAATGACACACATTTAATTATTTTTCCCTCAGTTTGGGCTGAAGGCTCCTCGCTGCATCACTCCCACTCGGCTCACTTCTCCCTGAAGAAAACCTTTGGCCGATCTGTCACAGTCACTCAGTGCCAACACAAGCTGAAGCACCTTCATAATGGGGCCCGGATCACGATGCAGATGCCTCCCAGTGTGACAGGCCACTGGGTGTCCACCAGGTCAGTTTGGTTTTCACTTGAACTGTAGCTTTGCAAACAGATTTTATTTTGTAAAGTTTTTATCTGTGTTGTTCTGTTGCAGCTGCGAAGTGAGATCCGGTCCAGAGTTCCTCACTCGTTCCTACAGGTTTTACCCCAACAACACCTTCCAGGCCCACCAGTTCTACTACCAGGACAACCACTGCACCAAACCCACCTACACGCTGCTGATCCGAGGTCGGCTGCGCCTACGACAAGCCTCCTGGATCATTCGGGGCGGCACCGAGGCCGAGTACCAGCTCCACCGTGTCCAGATGGTGTGTCACACGGCTGCCGTGGCCTCAGAGCTGAGCCYGAGGCTTAACCACAGCTGCAGTGGAGCCATAAGTGGCCTCTGGGAGCCTGGCGTGACCTACGAGCTATGGGACGAGGAGGGAGGCTACAACTGCTCCATTGCGTTGAACTTCACCTTCCATGAGCTGCAGCTGCTGAGGGTGGAAAAGCAGTACCTGCACCACAACCTGGATCACCTAGTGGAGGAGCTGTTTCTGGGAGACGTCCACACGGATCCGCGGCAGAGGCTCTTCTACAAACCATCCAGCTACCAGACCCCCCTGCAGAATGCCAAGGTTGGTTCACCAGCTGTTTCTTTGACAGAACGATGACGACTCTAAAGATGAGGAAAGGACATCAGTAACATTCAAAATGGCCACTACAGCTGTTCAATCTCACATAAAATGACTATAACACAGTCAGCTTTGCACTGAACTAAAATTATTTACGTTAGTATCCGAAAGTCAGTAGTTAGGGTTGGGTTAGGGGAGTATTTGCTCAGAGTTTACTAGTAATATTTATTTTTTAATGGTTTTTGTGGCTTTTTCTTGGTCTGAAATTTAAAGAACCTGGGTATTTTAGGCTTCTGCTTCCAGGTAATAATGTTTTTTTTTTTGGTTTAGGGTTCTTTAGAGGAAGATTATTTATGTATGTGGTAACCTGTATGATTATGGTTAGGTATTTGTCTGTGTGGTTAATTTTAGGTAAGAGGTTAGGGTTAGGCATGTATCTGTGGTTATTTTTTTAGTAACTGAGTCAGTAGGTAGGGTTGGGGTTTCAAGTTAGGTTGGGGTTAGGGTTTGATGTCGGGTTGAGGTTAGGATTTAGTTGGGGTTTGGTGTAGGTTTGGGGTTAAGTTTGGTTGGAGGTAGGGTTAGAGTTGGTGTTGGGGCTAAGATTTCAGTTAGCGTTAGGTGTAAGGTTGGGTTCAGTTTGGTTAGGGTTTTGTGTTGGGTTGTGGTTAAGAGTTAATTTGGGATTAGGGTTTGGGGTTCATTTTAATTTTAACACAAAGTCTGATCAAAACATCATTGATTRAGGCGATGGGAGAAATGCATTCCTTCCTGGAATGTTGAGCTTTTTATAATTTCTTGATTAGAATCTGAGGTCCGGTACCCCCGCTGTCAGATTAGGGAGGCCAGCAGGAGGCTGAGAAGATATCCCACTCACATTTTTTAGACTTTTGTGTTCAGTGCAAGAATCTTGTGGGTCAAATCCAGGCTGATATTTTCTGTGACTTCAGTATAAAACCACAGCTAAGCTTCACTCCCACTGAGCRGACCTTCACCCCAAAGACCGACCACACACACACACTAGCAACAGACATGACAAGCTTTTAAAGCCAGACCTAAATGCTTTTAACTTAAAAAAATAAGTTTAAAGCATCTCAAACATTTAGACCACTCAAATTTATTCTCTCTTGTAAGATTGAAGCCAAAAATCTATAAAACACTCATTTATTTTAGCATATTATTTGATCTAATTCTGAATTAATCAACTTTATGTTGAAGACCTGTTGTTCATTTCATTTCACAGGATGTGATTTCTCTGTTTACACCGGCTTCCCCGCTGGCTCCGACCCTGGAGCCATGTTTTCACTGTCACAGTCAACAGAGATTACATCGAAATCCTGCTTATCAAAGCAAACACCGGATTTTTACTGGTGTTGCTGATCAGAACAAAAACAGAACCCGGAGGGATGAGCGAATCTTGTGATGACCCAGAACCTTTCTTCTTTAGCCTGAAGAGGTGCGGCATGAAGCGAGGCCCGATCCTGGGYACAAATCAACATGTGGTCTTCCAAGAAATAAAACTCATACAGCTGCATTAAAWATTCCCACAAACGGACACAAGGTCTTGTTTCATACAAGTCAAAGTGTTTTAATTTATCCATCTTAAAGGAATAGTCTGGTTAATTTTGAAGCATTGTTTCAAATAGTCATTGAAAACCAGTTTTGRAAAACCATGATGATGTCACAACTCAACCAGGTTAAGTAAGGCACCGTGCGTCAAAGCACATTATGTCACTATGCTCTTACAAAATGTTATTTTACCAATCAGAACAGTTTGGAGAAAATGYCAGAGTTCAAAAACAACATGCGGGTGTGAATGGAGGCTGCGTTAGCTAACATTAAATCTATGATTAGCTTATTATAAACTCTACAAATGTATCAATCTGTCAAATCAGAGAGTCTGGTCCACAGGTGTCAACCTCACATACACAAAGTTTATTTAAATATTTTTATACAACAAATTATTCTCATAGACAAATATAGGATGAAAAAAGTTATATTTTAAAAAAACTTTGGCAGTCAGTTCACAGGTCTTTCTACAAGCAACTTTTTGATTCATCATACCTTAGAGATCTGTTTTATCATAATCCAGAAAATCAATAGAAAACCTCACTTAAAATCTAATTATTTGACTTTAAAATAAAAAGAAAATGCAGAAAAATACTAAGTTGATTATCTGTTGCATGTTCTACACCAAATTCAGAGATTACTCAAAGATTAATCTTCTTACATTGAAAGAAAATTGTAACAAAGTTACAACAAAGTTGTGGTCGGGACCCCTCTATGGGTCTTTAAACATTGAAAGAATTTCCAGACATCAATTAAAATGCAAATAAATTAATGAAATATTTTCACCATGGTTATTAAGAAAACAACAAAACAATAATAACAAAAGTAGAATCATAGGTATTAGTTTTGTTTATTATTATGCCCATGTTTAACAGACATATTCATAAAATTTGCACAAGTCTCTGCAACTATTATTTTGTGGGTCCAAACTAAAAAGTTTGAAAACCACTGCTCTAGTCGGTCCAAAGGTTTGCTGGACTCCAGGCAGACTGATTCATTCAGCAGCCATGGTTTGTACTCAGTACTAATGTATTTGTACGTAGACGTTAGTTCTGTAGATGTAATCTGAGTAAATTTTAATCTTTTTCTCTGATATTTAAAGGTTGTAACAGATTATGGTAACGACCTAATTGTTTGCTAATTGGCTCACACTAATAATAGGTCAGTGAATGAGATCATGCTGGAATGTTTTCTCCAAGTCAAACAGAAAACCACACTCGCTCTGTCATGGTTCCTTGTCAGGGGGTGGAGGTGGGGGGGACCTCTCCAATCCATTAATTTTAAATGCTGTACCCAGAACTGGTCCCAATCCAGAACACTTGCTGGTGCCAGGGTGTTCGTTTGTGGTTTCTGGGTGGAACTGTGTGATGCAAGAGCGAGGCAAATTTTATTTTATTTTTTTAGTTTTTTTCCCCAAGTTTTCTGTTGCTCTGCTTCGCCACCATGTTACTGCAACCAAAAAATGACCTATTTTAAATTTGAGTCTGTCTTACATTTCCATCTTTGTTTTCAGCATCATGACCACGCCTGCGTCGTCTGCCCCATCATCTCTCGCTCAGACGAGCTCCACCCCCCCGTCCTGCCGCTGCGAGCCGACCTCACCGTCAGCCTGTACGGTCAGTGGGTGAGCCAGCGCTGTGAGGTGCGCCCCGAGGTCCTCTTCCTCACCCGCCACTTCATCTTCCACGACAKCAATCACACCTGGGAGGGTCACTACTACCATTACTCCGACCCCAGCTGCAAACACCCCACCTTCACACTCTATGCCCAGGGGCGCTACAGCCGAGGGCTTCACTCCACCAGAGTCATGGGCGGAATGGATTTTGTCTTCAAAGGTAACAGTTTCTCATTTCATAACTAAGGTTTTATAGAAATATAGTAGATTTGTAAGATAGTTATAAGTATGTCATCATACTTAAGGAAACAATAATTGTATCATATCGATATCGGCCGATACTCAAGGCAGCAATATTGGTACTCTATCATACTGGCCAATACTATTGGTATTATTGATATTGGCCAATACTCAGTATCGACCAACACTCATTGTCTTGATATCAGCCAATACTCAATATTGGCCAATAGTCAAGGCAGCAGTATGGGTATTATAAATTAAAAAGATTTATCGGGACACCCCTAATTCAGTCACTAAATCAGATGAATAGCAGATTGAAGGACCAGGAATAGACACCCCTGCTATAGTGTCATAACACATAATTCTGATCATTGTAATCTCACATTACAAAGAACTATCTCATAATTGTGTCATCTAAGGTCATCCTACCAGARGGACTTACAGTGGGGTGGGAAAGTTTGGGCAGCCTTGTTTTCCTGATTTACCTTTTTATAAATCATTGAATGTTTGGATAAAAAAATATCAATTAAATATAACATATAGGGGACAAACACGGGGTTATTTGAGAAGTGAAAAGAAGTTATGATTTACAGAAAGTGTGCAATAATTGGGTTAAACAAAATTAGGCAGGTGCATACATTTGGGCACCATTAAACAAAACCTGAACTCAATATTTAGTAGATCCTCCTTTCACAGAAATGGCCTCTAAATGCTTCTTATAGCTTCTAATGAGAGTCTGGATTATGGCTGAAGGTATTTTAGGCCATTCTTCTTTACAAAACATCTCTGGTTCATTCAGGTTTGATGGTTTCTGAGCATGGYCAGCTCTCTTTAAGTGACACCACAGATTTTCAATAATATTCAGGTCTGGGGACTGAAATGGTCATTCCAGAACGTTGTACTTGTTCCTCTGCATGAAGGCCTTAGTAGATTTTGAGCAGTGTTTAGGGTGGTTGTCTTGCTGGAAGATGCAGCCCCGGCTTCAGCAGCTTCAGTTTGTCACTGATTCCTGGACATTGGTCTCCAGAATCTGCTGATATTCATTGGAATCCATGCATCCCTCAACTTTAACAAGATTCCCAGTCCCTGTACTGGCCACACAGCCCCACAGCATGATGGAACCACCACCACATTTCACTGTAGGTAGCAGGTGTTTTTCTTGGAGTGCTGTGTTCTTTTTCCTCCATGCATAACGGCCCTTGTTCTGTCCAAATAACTCTTATTTTAGTTTCATCAGTCCACAGCACCTTATTCCAAAATGGAGCTGGTTTGTCCAAATGTGCTTTAGCATACCTCAAGCAGCTCTGTTTGTGACGTGGGCGGAGAAAAGGCTTCCTCTGCATCACTCTCCCATACAGCATCTCCTTGTGTAAAGTGTGCTGTGTTATGGATTAATTATGTATATCTGTTCTACCTTGACACTTGTCCAGTAATCATATCTTATGATAACTAGTTTCAGCTGTTGAATCTGTTGCCCTAGACTTCAAGACTCCAGCAATGCATGGCCTCTTTTGTTCTGATAAGGTGTTTTCCAGGCTGACAGCCCTGTCATTGGTTAGATGGTTCACAGTTGGAGAACTGTGATTGGTTGTAAGCATGTCACATGATGTTATATTATCAGCTGCTCTATGCTGACGGGCGAGCCACAACACGACAGACTTTGTTGATTGACCTCTGCTTTGTTGTTGCTCAGATTAAATCATTTGACGACCATACACGCAGACTGGTGTTTCTGCATTCTTGGTAAATCGTGCCACCACAGCTGAATAGTTGAACGATGCACAYTGACTCCATCAGCAGCAAGATGATGTTGTAGGTCTTTGGTGCTGGTCTGTGGGTTGATTCTGACTGTTCTCAACATCCTTCGCTTCTGTTTATTCCAGATTTTTCTTGGTCTACCACTTCGAGCCTTGACTTGAGCTGTGCCTGTGGTCCTCCATTTTCTCACGTTTCTCACAGTGGAGACTGAAAGCTGAAATCTCTGAGARAGCTTTCTGTATCCTCCCCCTAAACCAGGGGTGCCCAAACATTTTCCCTGAGAGGGCCAAAATTAAAATCAGTCTGAGGGCCGTGGGCCAAATGCAATAATATAAGAAATGCAAATACTTCTTAAGTGAAGTTGTTTTATTTTTTATGATTAAGCTAGCAGCCAGTGTGGTTGCCCACATTTTATTTTCCTCCAACCCATGGACATGGAGAAAATTCAACTTCTGCTCAGGCAGCAAAGGCTCATGGGACTTTCCATAATTTAAAATTTGAGTATATGGGATCTTATAAGGTGTGCAAATCTAGATATGGACTTAAATCTAATCTAAACATCTCTTGTAGTTACTTGTTTTTTTTATTTAACATAATTACAATCTAGTAACCAGGACAACTGCTCATGAGCCAAATCAAATGGCTTGGTGGGCCAATTTTGGCCCGTGGGCCCCACTTTGGGCACCTCTGCCCTAAACCATGATGGTGAACAATCTTTGTTTTCAGCTCATTTGAAAGTTGTTTTAAGACTCCCTTTATGCGACTCTTCAGAGAAGATGAAAAGAGGAGAAAAACCTACATTTGCCTCCCTTAAATACCCTTTCTCATAATTGGAGTCACTAGTGTATGGAGGTCAAGGGTCACCGAACTTACCAAACCAAATTTGAATTTCAATAATTAGTTCTAAAGGTTTTGAAATCAATAAATGACAACAGTGCCCAAATTTATGCACCTGCCGAATTTTGTTGAACCAATTATTGCACACTTTCTGTAAATCATATCAACTTCATTTCACTTCTCAAATATCGGTGTTTGTCCCCTATATGATTTATTTAACTGATTTATTTTATCCAAACAATCAATGATTTATAAAAGGTAAATCAGGAAAGTTAACAAGGCTGCCCAAACTTTCCCACCCCACTGTATAACTCTGAGCCACTCACGACGATCAAGATTAAACGAGACATTCGAACTGTACTGTTCCTTTGTACCTTACAAAGTTATTGTTCCTAAAACTTGTACAACTCAGAAACTGGACTTTAAAGAAATCAAGGGATCTATAGAAAGTAGAGATGAGAAATAAAATATGTCTTTGTCTCCTCTAGTGAACCACATGAGAGTGACCCCCATGGATTTGGCCACCACGTCCCTCCTCAACGTCTTCAAAGGTAACGAGTGCGGCGTGCAGGGCTCGTGGCAAGCAGGCGTGGAGCAGGACGTCACAGCCACCAATGGTTGCGTGGCGTTGGGCATTCAGCTACCGCACATGGAGTACGAGCTCTTCCGCATGGAGCAGGACGCCCACGGTCACTATCTGCTCTACAACGGCCAGCGTCCCAGTGACGGCAGCAGCCCGGACCGCCCGGAGAAGCGAGCCACTTCTTTCCAGATGCCCCTGGTCCAGTGCTCATCGAGCAGCCAGCACTCGGATCAAAGCCGAGGGGATGAGGAAACGTCTACGCTGTACTACAAAGACTGCTCAGGGTGCCACAGAGGCTGTCACAAACTGACYGGGACGTTTGCCGCCATCATCACTGCTCTGATTCTTTTTAACCAAACTTAAAGGGCAACTCTAAAACTGCTTGTTCTAAGACCAAAAAAAAAAAAAAAACTCTTTGTGGATGTGAAGAAGGTTGAGAACTGAACTCCTTTCCTTTCACCAAAGACTGGAAACTGCTGCACCACAGAAACTGCACTTTAGAGTAGAAACACCTTTCTGTGATTCCATGTAGATTAAAATGTTTTTATACCTTCACAGACTGGGGAAAAAAAACATTTCCTGTCCTGTTTAAACCAGGATCTTTACAACATGTGGTCATAATAGGACATCTTGTACAGTGTAATCTTGACAAAACCTTTGTCTCAAAGTTTTTATCATTTGTTTACTGAAAAATTAAACTTTGGTACTTCTAATAAAGCCTTTTCTTTTTAAAATACAGTMAACTCAACACTCATTTTGAAGGCCATGTGTCACGAGATATACTCTTTGTATGGTGTTTAAAATGGCGTCACGAGACACTAAACTATAGTATGTATCTCGTGATGCCATTTTAAACACCATACAGTGTTTAAAATGGCATCACGAGATACATACTATAGCAGTGTCCAAAATATTGTCACAACAAGAGACACATTCTGGAGAATGGTGTTTAAAACGATATCACAAGATGGATACTGTATTATAGTGTCCAAAATATTGTCACGAGACTAAAGTATAYCRCAAATATCGACATGACAGGAGACYCATACTACAGTATGGCATCCAAAYTATAACGACATGAGGAACTGTCATGAGACACGTACTATGGTATAGTGTCTGAAATTACAACATGAGGTTCATCACGAGACACTACAGTATTAGCAAATTACATCAGGAGACATCATGTGATACATACTATAGTGTCCAAAAATAGTCATGCATAAGACACATACTATAGTAAGGACTGTAGACAGGCARGGGAACTGGTTAACGGCCCAAATCTAAGGTTTGGGAAAACTCTAAGTACACTGTCCTGATGCATCTCAGTAATCCAGGTAAAAAATCAAAAAGAAAAAAAAACTGTACTTTCTAAGTACACTGGTTGGAGTCCTAACTAGGCACAATCTGCTCAACCGCCACAAAATGGTGATGGGACTCAATGGTCTGTGTGATGCCTGTGGCATTGAATTAGAGACCTCTTTGCACTACTTAGGCCACTGCCTGGCTCTTGAGTGGTCAAAGGAAAAGAATTCTTGGGGACCCCTTTATGGATCCTGAGAAGCTCAAAACAGTGTTTCTAACCTTGTGTCCTTCATCCAAGAGACGAGAAGGTTTGAATGAAGGACAGTGTCTTTTTGGGGAGAGCAATGGGCCCACTTAGGAGGCCTCCTTTGGATTTTATATCCATCCCCATTAAGAGAGAGAAGGTGTATAAAATATTGTTACGACATGAGGTACGTACTACAGCACGGTGAGTAAAATGTCATGAGACATGCTATGGTATAGCGTCTGAAGTTACAACATGAGACTCCATCACGGGACACGACAGGATCGAGTCCAAAATTACATCATGAGACATTATGCGATACATACTGTAGCAAAGCGTGCAGTAAATTGTCACGACATGAGATACATACTGTAGCATGGCATTTAAAATGACGTCCTGAGACATAATCTAATGACACATACTATAGTCCAAAATATCATCACACGAGATACATACTATAGTATTCCGTCCAATATTACATCATAAGACATTATGAGATACAAACTGTACTATACTGTCCAAAATATCATCACACGAGATACATACTACAGTATTCATCATAAGACATTATGAGATACAAAATGTACTATACTGTCCAAAATATCGTCACACGAGATACATACTATAGTATTCCGTCCAATATTACATCATAAGACATTATGAGATACAAAATGTACTATACTGTCCAAAATATCGTCACACGAGATACATGCATGGCATCCAAAATGACTTAAGAACTCACATCCATGAGACACACTACAGTGACATCCAAGACTTACGAGTACACTCTATCATGACACATATAGTACGACATCATGTGACATGACCCTAACCGACGACTGCTCAATGTTGGGATCAGGATTCAGTTCGGATCCTTCCACGAACTTTAATAGGATGTAGAGACAAAGACTAGAACACTGCCAACAATCTGCCCGTTCACAATGAATGTCCAGAATACCTAAAAATGATTCTGCAAAAGGTTTTTAAAATTAAATTACTCCTTTTGAGCAACATTTGTTTTCTTAAGAACACTGACTTTGTGTTTTGTACAAGCTGACCCTTTGACGGGAAACACATTTCCATTTGTAGTCCCCCAGAGGGCATTAGAAACACCCAGATTTTTTATGAGATTACGGAGTCAATGTGAGAGGAACATGGACGCTGCCAAGAACAGACAGCTCTGAGGTGGAGGGAACTCGGTCCAAAACCATTGAAGAAACTGGAAGCCAACACTGTTTCACGTAGTTACATTCAGCTTGACTCATAGCTGAGTAACAAACACAGTTTCCCACGATCCCTTCCTGCAGGAGTCGCCCAACTTCTCTGATTAAATGAGTAAAGGTTTCTCTTTAGRGTCTTACAGAAAAAGCTTTGTACTCGTTTACGATCGCGGCTGAAATTAGTTCGTTAACGCACAGAATGTCAAAAATGCATGAACATCACCAGGACAAACTTCTAAAAAACCAGTTGTTTGATGCAATCTAAAAATTATTAAATCTGTAGTCCTTTCCAAATAACATTTCAAAAAGCACAATCTCATGTTCTGTTGAATTTGTTGTTCCAGTTGATGTCGGACAGACTTTAATTAAAGCTCAGCTGTGTCATGTGGACAGAAAATTTACTGCTGATAAAACCACATTTGCAAATGGTAGCAAATAACATCTTTAAAAYTGACACGGAAAGAAAAAAAAACAGCTATAAAAACCACATTTTTTATTTTTATTTAGGTAATGATCAATACCATGGGACATCTTTAAGAATGAAAACCTCTTTTCAGTCCATAACTGCCTCAGAAGCAAGAAGTGTTGTAGTATGTTTCGTAATAATAATAATAATAATTCTGTATTTTTGTTGTTAGGAAAACAGAACAAATGTACAAGAATGAGGCACCTATATCCCCAGCTGGACCTGAACATTCCAACAGAAAAAAAAAGTAAAAATTACAGACAAGTTTATTTCAGAGGCAATCCAGCAACAGGTAGAGAAAGGAAAACGTCCTTTTTCTGGTTAAATGAATTTAAAATAACATTTACAAGACGCCTAACATTCCATTTGATTTCTATCAAAATCACAGAAGAAGAAGAAAAGAATAATAATAAAAACCGGATCTTTTGACAGCTTCGTGCCCATGGGCCCTAAATTTTTGCATCTTCACGTTGCCTGACGGTAAACATTCATCGTCCCACCACTTTACTTTTATTATTATTTTTTTTATTTTAATTTACTCGGCTCTTTGGGGGAATAAACCGTGTGAGATTGTAAAAAGCAACGCCTTCGAATGATGCTGTACAGATGTGTTCACTGGAGGCCACACGATCAATGATATGGCAAAGTCAACAAAAAGACTTCTTGCTTTTTCCAAGCCTTTTTTTTTTATTATTTATATATCTTTTAAACTTTTTCCAGAAGCCACGATTGATATGGCTGGCATGCAACCTCCCTCCACCCCCAGTCTACAATATGAACTTTCCAGAGAAAAAGCCAATGAAGATTGCTGCTAAGACAACAAGGAGGGAGGGCAGGTAGGCCATGCTGTGTTCTCGGCCCATGAGGTTGGTGGAGTTTGACGTCACGTGGTCTGAGCGAGGCATTTTTCTGATTCTATTTGCTTCGTCCTGCAAAAGCAAACAAACACAATAAAACCACAACTTGAGTGTGCAGAAAACAAAACGGAAAGTTTACAAAAATTTACAAGGCAAATGATTTCAAACAACATCAATGTGAATTTTATGGGAGATTTAAAAATGTTTTGAGCTTAACGTGAAAGTAAAAATGAACTGATCACATAAATTAAACACACTGCAGGTTTTATGCAGGTATAAATACTTCAAATACAAGAAGTCAAAGAAAACCTCTTCATACTTTAAAAAATTGGCATAATACAGATAATTTTACCCATTTCGTCACTGTCATATTTTTCTTCTGAGGTTGGCTCAGCAAAGTGAAACAGGAAGTGACATCAAAGGGGAACTCGTTAAAGGGAACTCTCTCTGGTCTTTATTTATTCTAACAATACTTGAACTCTACCACATCTCTGTGATTGTGACCCAAATTAGTCAAATCATCCTCTAAAGTCTGTTATTGTAGCAACGCTCTGTTCACATGCAGACATTCCCCTCTGACATCACTTCCTGTTACTTCACATGCYTATACCTCAACAACCGTTCATGTCAGCAGCATGAAATTTATTTTGCAACATGTTATTAATGTTATCTTTTTAAAAATAAACCTTCATATTTATTACAAAAAAAATGATGTCACAGGCACTTTAATGCTCAGTTCTGATTTATTTTTTGGTCGTTTATGTTAGAATTGCAACACGAGTTCCAAGATTTAAACGACATGATTTTAGCATTCGATTAGTCACTGGTTCAATCTGTAAAAATGGTAAAAATAAACATGACAGTTTAAATACTGGATATGGTTTTGATTTAATACCACATAAAGAGATCTGGGTTGTTTTGGGGAAAAAAGATTCTGTTTTTCAGGTTCAGACTATCATATAAAAATCTGATATGGGTCACGTAAGGAGAAAAAAAACAGAATCGGATTTGGGCCACTTATGGCTGCAGTGTGAATAAAACCACAGATTAATTAAAGGGTCCAAATCTAAAACTGATAGTTTATCAGTATCAGGGTCACAGAGCTCAGTCAGCTCCCAGTCTCTGGTGTTTTGTTCCAGTTGCAACATAAAATGGCAGCTCTGAAAGATCGTGAATGAAGAGGAAAAATACGTAGCAGATTTGTGGTTTTGAGTTTAACCTCTCTGATTCACACTTTAAGATCTTGGTTCATCAGCTCGTCTGACCTTTAACTGTCGGTTCTCCTCTGTCAGCTTGTTGACCTCGGCTTGCAGCCTCCTGCACTTCTCCAGCACTCTCTTCATCTCAGCATCGTCCACTGCGGCGGCGGCAGCAGCAGGTATCGCGGCCGGCGTCGGCTCCGCCCTCGTGGAGTTTAACAGGGTTGATCTCGATGCGTCAATGTCATTCTGACAGACAGAAGCAGAAAAATGAATGACCGAGGTGAAATCTAACGTGGCTTGACCCAAGTAAAGACGCCAACCTCTAGATGTGGGAATACGCCAGAGAAAGGCAGCCTTGTTTAACGTTCATGGTAGCAGATCAAAGACAGGGGAAAGTCAGATTTGATGTGGTTTTGTTTGTAGGGCAGCCAAGATGACGACATGGYGAAATAAAGGCTGGTATTATGGAAGGACAGAAATACAACTACTGTACTGTGAGGGAGGGTTGTTAGGACATGATGTTATTAGCGCGACAACAATTTAACCATTATTGAACATAGAAGGCTGATTAAACTGAAGACGYATTTCAAATCTAATCATAGTTGATAAAAGAAACAAGTCTATGGGAGTGACATTTAACATCTTTAAATATAAATGGGTGTGAGCCTGAAACAGAGGGTACCAAACAGGCTTTTTCACCTGAACTGGTTTRAGTTTGATTGTTCCTCTTCAACAAAAAATGTTCATAAACTTCTTCTTTTTTGTCTTCAGCGGTTCCTGCTTTAATTTAGTGTTGTGAGCCTAACATTTTATTTTCTCTTTTGTGTTTCACATCCTTGTTCTCCCATTGTAGCAGTTCATTTATGACATTTACTCCAATCAGGTATTCTGTCTCCAAAGTAGGGCTGAACGATTAATCGCATTTGCGATAATCTCGCGATATGTTAAAACGAGATTTTCTAACCGCACACGCTGCTATTTGACTGGTCACGTGACTTGGGAGTGACTCGAGCAGAGCAGTGTTGCTAACTTAGCGTTGCTAGATCTAGCAGCTTTTCAGACCCCTCTAGCACCTATTTTTTTTTACTCAAAAAGCGACTAGCGTCAAATCTGGCAACTTTTCCTGGAGCTTTTGGAGACTTTTAGAAGCTTTGGTGACAGCACTTTCCTCCTTTTCTCCCCCGCGAGTGGTGCGGTAAGCCCCTCCCCGTTTCTAAAGCGGTCCGAGCCTCGTTCAGCATCAGCAGCAGCACACACACACCTGGCTGCAATCAGCTGAGAGGAGACCGCTGCAAATTAATCTTGAATGCGCAAAGCTGCCGCTGCTCTTGCCTTGTTTCTAAAGCGGGATATAATATTTACTGTAATGTTTTTTCTCTGGTACTGTCTCTGTAAAATAAATCTCTGGACCCAGCTGTGTTTGACTCACAGATCAGCTTCACCTCGTCCTCCGTCTCGTGATATCTAACAGTCTGCAGATTAAATTTAAGATTATCACTAATTTAATTTATGTAATATGGATCTAAGCATTAAAGTCATAAAATTAGTTTTATTTCATTAAGTTTAATTACAGTTTTAAACATATTTAGTGTGTTTCTTCACTTATTTTCTCTAACATCTCTCCTACAGCTCATAGATCACAATTACTGGCAAACATATTAGGTGATGATGTAAACTAGTAACTTGAGTTTGATTTTCCTACAAAAATAACGAGTTGGTTGTATTCTTCATGTTTTTTGCACTTTATTTTTTTCATGATGTTACTGGCTGGAAAACAGTAAGCTTTATTCTTTTTATATTTATATATTTTTCTTTTTATTTATAGACTGTCCAGTGAATTTCAGACAGTGTTTAGGAAGTTCACTTAACATGTTTAATATCATGTTTCATGAAAAATAAAAAAATTAGAAAAGGTGAAAAGGTAAAGCCACAGATTTGTTTGCTTTATCTGTGCTTTAAATAAAACTTACTTTGTTTATTATAAAACAGATTGATTTATTGCTTCTGTTTGTTGAATACTTAAGACATAAAAAACTGCATATTAAATCGCAATTTATAGATTAAAAAAAATCGCAATTAGATTATTTTCCAAAATCGCTCAGTCCTACTCAAAAGGTGTGAATAGTTTAAGTAATGATACAAAATTTTAGATTCTCTTCTAAATTTAGCAGTTTTCACTCAACAAAAAGCTAAAATGCGATTTAATCGGACAGAGAAAGGAAGCATTTGCTGATTAGAGATGACAAGAAAGCTTTACGCACATGAAACGGTGCTCCTTGGCATTTTTATGATCTGCTTTCCTTCTTCAAAGTTCATCTCCCTGAAAATCTTCTGGCTTTTTTTAACATTTAACCCAAATCCCCAAACAACAAAGCAATAATTCAAGTTATAAATTAGAATTATAAATGCGCAGCGATGCCTCTTACCACTCTATCGTTTTCAGAAGGCATCTCAAAGACACATCTCAGCTTGGAATCCATGAGCTCATCGGGTTTTGCATCTTTCCACTGGTGGAGATAAAAAAAATAAAAGAAGGCATGTTATTCATCAAGTCAAACTGCTAACAGATGGATTTTATCCACACACACGCCACACTACACCAGTCGGTACGTACGCAAATAGTTCTGAACCRATGTGCATTATAAGAGGAAAACAATGTGCTGCTACGTTTTTAAAAGAAAATCTGATTTTACCAGACAAAAATTTCACAACTTTTCTTTTTACAAGAGTTCTTTAACACATGACAGAATAAAACTGCAAAATCATTTTAAAATGGTCAGAAAAACATTAAATAACTCAAATAAAACTACAGAATTTTCATGAATGTAATGATCTCTTAGAGCTTTTGCTGCCCTCTGGTTGACAAACTAGAAATATTTTTTAAAATTTTTTTTAGTTTGGCCACCACAAACAAAATAACCCAATAAAATAATATTAGTTCTGCCTCAGCTCAGTCAATCAAATTCAGATGTTAGCCATGAACATTTATGAGGCCAATAAAATAAAACTGAGTATTTTATATAATTGAATAACAAGTCTGACAAGTTGTCTGACATTTTTAAATGTGAGGACATAATTTGTTGGGAGGCATTACAGCCGTGTTTTTCTTTTTATTCTTTAGTTTTAAACCATATAAAAACAAGATAATTAGGCAGATTTAACATGGAATCAACACARTAATGATAAACAGTGAGACTGTCACCAAAATGTTTGGAACTGCAGCTAAAATTTATCTCAATCCCACTGCTTCACAGGTTCATCATTCAGTTGATATTTTTGTCTGTTTTCTCTTTATATTAATGATTATGGCACTCATAGCAGATTTCTTAAATGCATTTATAAATACACTTTATTATAAAGTGTCTTCATAAAAATCCAATAAAAAAAGTCACTTACCAACGAATCCATGTCGGAAACATTTGGCGGGGCGAAAATTGTCTGCACCATGAATTTGTGTTTACTTTTCTCATTGGGGTCATATTCAAATGGTTGCAGCATTACTGTGAATGAAAGAAAAATAAAATGTATACATGTGGACATTTGTAAACAAAAAAAAAAAAAAAACACTGAACAGTTTAACACAAAATTCACAAAATTGGGGTCACAACCCAGTTTGCTGGAAAACACCAAGTTATGCGAATCAAAAAGAATTTAGAAATAATTGCGAAATAGACCATTTTTTTAGCTGCAGCCATAAACAGATGAATAGAAAAATGTTTGGAATTAAATGAGTCATTAGCACTGTTTGATTACTTTAACCACCAACAGTCAAAGTTTTTGTTACTATTATTTTGTAGGTCAGCAAATAAAAATATCAGTTTTTGTCRACGTAACTCTTAAACTTTATGGCCTTGAAGTGGACTGTGTGAACATTAACCTTTCTACAAATCATAGCTCACATCATTAACAGTTCTGTGAATGGTTTTAGTGTACCTTCAACATTATTGTTTCACTACTACTTTAACAGTCTGGATCAATGTTTTAATGCTCCAAGATGAGCTTCATTAAAAACAACAAAAATAAAACAGCCACCAAAGGCTTACCAGAGATATTAACCGTCGCTCCGGGGTCGATGACCCCGCTGTTTGGCCGTACGCAGTACCTGCGTGGTGCTGTTGTTTTCACTTTGAAACACACTCTTCTGTCAGAAGGGTTCTTCAGTTTTAGGTTACTGGTGATTACATCTGTGAAAGGACCTGGTGAAAAAAATAAAAAAATTAATAGTTGTAAATTATGAAGCCCCTTCTACATTAAAAATGTGGTAAATTGAACATTTGCTTTTATTTAATAGATATTTTCAAGAACTTACYATTTTTCCAGCAAATATGCTGAACAAGTTAAGACAAATTAGAACAGGGTTGGAGACTAAAATATAATTCGGTAAAAACTGTCTACGCCTCTAGATGTAACCTGACAAACCACCTGAATCAATTACAATTCCCTCCAAACAGATAATTTGATATAGAAGTCATGAGTCCTCTCTCCCATCAGGAGATCAATAGTTATATAACGAGTATCCATCTTGTGACAGAGCTGGATTCAACTTAAGTCCTTAACCGTGTTCAGGACCAGCAGCTTTGATCATCGATGTCAAAAACACGACCAGCTGCCAAATCAGAAAAACGTTAAAGTCCATCCTAACAATTAGCTTGGGAGTCTGTACAGAAAGAGACATCACAGCAACAAAGGTCATGATGAAAGATGTGGGCTAGAATAAGGCGACAAGATGAATTATATTGTAAAAACCTATTTTTGGTTTCATTTTGAGCAAAATAAACTTTTATTTTTTGCTTTCGTTGAACAGTTTTGTCACCTTGGACTCGTCCAAACTTGTTTAGTTTTTAGTCCAGGTTGAGCACAAAGGAAGGGAAGATGGGCTCATGTCAAAAAGATTTATCTAGAGGTAAAGTTATGATATTTTGTGAGTAAGTGAGTTTATCAGATATGAACTTTTATTCTCTCATTTGGGAATTTATGAACACTGAATCCATGAACATAAAACTCTTCCCCTCTGTTTACGGATTTCACAGCTTAGCTGGAATTGAAGTTGACAAAGTCCACAACTTGGCTTCCACACATGGTCCATTACCAAGATGATAAGAAGCACTAAATGAAGGCCTTGCCCAGCTGAAGTGATGATGGTGAAAAGGCCACTGATTTCACAACAGGTGCAACTCAAATATGTTCCAAGAAAAGAGGAAAATCTCATCCCACACAAAGTGCAATATGACGTTTCCTTTCATTCCAGATCCTGTTTGTTAATAGTTTTTGTGAATTGGATGGGTGAAGAAACTTTCAATGCCAACACATCAACAATATCAGGAAGAATAGTGACTAATCTTAAAGGAAAAAATATGCTGTTGGACAAAAATCATGTAAATTTGCAATCAGGAATTGCTTAAAAATGACATTCAATACCATTTTTATTTAAAAAATGCAAAATGTAGAAACTAAAACATTGTGCAGCTTTAAGAAAACCATTTATCAACAAGGCTAATTTAGGGGGAGGAGGTTTTAATTAGCTGGGGAGCATAAAGATTGAACATTAAAGTGATAAAAAGAGATCATGTGATGGGCTTCAGAGTGATGGACACATTAGGTACGTCAGACAGAACAGGAAATGATGCACCCATCAAGACTGTAAGAAGCTGAACTATTCAGTTTGTCAGGTTTATCAACATTTTGTGTACAGAAATTCATAAGAAACATCCTGGGTAATGCCTCATTTCATATGCTTGCTAAAAACGTTTTTCCATACAGAGAGGCTCAGGAAATGGTTTTTGAGACGTTGAAAGACCAGAGGGAAAAGCTGAAAACCCACTCACCAAGGCCAGAAACTTATAGAAATGGCCGAAAAATGTATTTATTTTTAATAAATCTACTGTAAATCTACAGTCAATGCTTTGACATTATATGATTTTAAGTTGACTAAAATACAACAAAACGCCCTTTTCTCCGAACACTGCCAGCAGAAGCATCTCTGCAACAAATAAAACACTTGATACCAGCTGAGCACATCAGCCACACACCCACATAATGTGCACCCAGAGCCCATCTCTTAGCTGCATCGCTCTCATCCTGTTGTATGTATGCTGAGTTTGGATCCCCCGGGCCTGTCCTACTCCAAAAATACCAGCCAAGAAAGGGGGGCTGCCCTCRTTGCTTGCAGTAGGATTCCCAACAGAGACTCCAAAACAGTCCAGGTCTCACATACGCAAGGACCGATTTAGCTACGTCTCTGTGACGGGCAGCAAAAAATACAGCTCCTCTTTTCTTCCACCGCTTCTGAAAACATTTATCTTCTACGTTCCAAAACAAATCAAAGCAATAAAAAACTGACTTTTTTGGTTGTTTATTTGATTAAGCACTTTGGATTCAATTAAAATCACAATATTTAATTTGCAGGTACTGCAAAACATGTTTTCAGACTCAAGTCTCCACAAAAAGATGTCCAAAATCATGATTAAATTTGCACGAGAGAAGTATTAAAAGAGGCTTGTAAAATGCTGCATATTTTCAGGTTTGGGATTGTAATTTTCTTTCTTTATATATATATATATA